TTACCTCCTGACACCATGGCCTCAACTTCCTACTTCTCCCCTCTCCCTACCAGCCTTTTAGCTTCCTGGTGCCTACAGTTCAGCCCCTCTAATATCTGAGGGTCTTTGCCAAGGAAAAACCAGATTTTGCAAGAATTCCTATTAAGTGTTTGCTAGTGGGTTGGGGTTAGGTAGAATGTTTGTGTAGGGTCCCAGTTGATTGAAAGACTTTTCAACCTTGATCCTGTCATCTGATGTGCTTCTTATATTCTTGGGTCATTTGCAAAAGCAGATTAACAGAGGACTATGTGATGGTGCCTGGACTGTCGGGGACCTTAGAGTCTGGAAGTCAAATAAGATAAGAACTAAAAAGAAACCACTGGCTTTAGCAATAATCACTGGTGATCATTGCTGTAGGGGTTTTACTGTACTTGAGTGAAGTAGAACAGTATAGATAGAAGTGATTCAACTTTTAAGGAAATTATGAAACAGAATAAAACTATAAGAGAACACAGGAACAAGGTACAGTGTATCAGGGGATAAATATGTTTCCTCTTTCAATCCTTAAAAGTCTATGTGTGGAGTACTACTTTAACCTGCATTTTAAAGATGAGATAATGAAAGTGGAAAGATTCAGTAACTTAGTCAAGGTTACATGTAATCCGAACCAAGGCCATCAAAATCTAGAATCTATATGTTTATATATTTTCCTATTTATATCTTTAAATTTATCTTCATTGTTGAAAGTATTACAGATGTCCTTTGTCCCCCCCTCCCCCATTGACCCTCTCATCCCCACCCCTGCCCCGTATGCTTATGTTTTAATAGTTTCTCAGTATATTGGGAAGGACAAGTAAAAAGGATTGAAGATTGATGTGGAGAACTTGAGACTAAACACCAATGTGTGTAGCAGCATCAGTCTGCACTGTTGTTTCCTTTAGCAGGTCATCTTCCCCACATGTAAGTGTGGGGTGAACTCTGGGCACAGGGGAGGTAAGAGGGTGGAAGAATTAACAGAAGTGGGAAGTTGAGGCCAGTTCTATCAAGAGGTAATGGAGGTGATTAGTCATCTTATCCAAACTGAATCATTAAGGAAGTGAGGCCAAGCCCTGGCTGGTGTGACTCAGTTGGTTGAATGTTATCCCATATACTGAAGGGTGGCTGATTCTATTCCTGGGCACATATCCAGGTTGCAGGCTCGACCCCTGCTCAGGGTGCTGAGATCTATGTTTCTCTCTCACATTGCTGTCTTTCTCCTCCTTTCTCTCTCTCTCTAAAATAAATAAAAACATATTTAAAAAAGAGAAAGCGAGGCCAAGAACTGCTCAATAAATAAAATGAAGGGACTAAGAGTCTGATAAACATGGGTACAGAGTGAAAGAAGTTAGGAATCTGGGCAAAAGTTAAAAAGTCAGAGAAAGATAAATATCACATGGTCACACTCATTTGTGGATTATAATGAATAACATAAACCAATGAACAAAAACAGATCCAGAGACAGAGAAGCATTGATCAGATGCTCAAACTTCAGAGGGAAGATAGGGGAGGGTGGGGGTAAGGGGGAGAGATCAACCAAAGGACTTGTATGCCTGCATATAAGCATAAGAAATGGATGCAGACAACAGGGAGTGAAGGTGAGGGCAGGATGGGGGGGTGGCAAGGATACATTTGTAATACCTTAATCAATAAAGGGAAAAAAAGAAAGAAAATCAAACAGTAGAATCTAAACTAGCTTATCAGTAATAATAGAGAGAATGGATCCAAAAGACAGAATAATAGATGCTGAAGAACTCAGCAAGTAAATGCAGATATCAAAGCAGACCAATTGTAGAACTACTGACTGATGGTGTCATTAAGAAATAGACAAAATTCAGGATAAAATTCAGGTCAGGACAATTTAGTTTGAGACACAGGCTTGAATAGCCAGCAGTTTGGATAAAAATGTCTAGGAAACTTAGCATGGAGCTTCAGTGGGAAGAGCAGACTGTGGATAGGGTTTGGGGCTCTCCGTAGGACACACATGAGACAGCTGTGGCAGATCATTGTAACAAGTGAGAAAAATACAAGGTGGCAAAGACCAGAACACTGGAATATTTCTATCAGGGTAAGGATAAGAGTCAGGAAAGGAGTGTTCTTGAAAGAATGGTACAGATAAGAGAAAATAAGGCATGAGAGTTTGGCAGGGGGTGGGGGGAAATGAAAGGGAAAAAAAATAAATATCTGTTTCAAGCTTTTTGTCAATCTTTTAAGGAAGTGGCCTACAAACAGCTGGCTGCATTTCCAAGTTTCATGGAATGGAGTGATCCCAGTTACTAAATGCTATAAAGGCTGCTAAATCTTCTCTCTCCTACCCTGCCTTTTCCCAAGGGAAAGAGTATCTGCTAAGGCTTTTTCCTAAGCAGCATGTTTTCCTTGAACCCTTTCCCTGCCCTCAGCCTCCAACCCCAGCATATTGGATAGCCTCCCTAAGCTGTTTGGGGACACAGGATAGGCTGAAATGCTTAAGAACAACTCTTCTAAGGGAGGTCCGAAGAGACAGTTGTATTTAAAGATAATGCCAAAATTCCAGCTCTCTGATTTGCAAACTTTCAAGAAATTGCTTATCTTGTGTGTTTGCTCTCTATCCAAGAACATGAGATGAAGACCCAGAGAATTATTGCTTCCTGGTAATACTAAATCAATACTAAATATAGAACATTAGCCTATTAGGCTTAAGGATCAGGACTATTTGTAAATAAGCCTGTGTTAAATGGTCTGGCTAACCACTGAAATGAAAATACCAGCAGACTCCAGGACCCCTACTGTTTGAAAGTACAAAAAGAACTCTAATGAAGACATCCTGTTTTGTTGCTCCTCCTTAAAGATCTAATTATTTCATAAATATATGAAAAAAGAATGGAAGAAAACATGATTAAAGATTGAGTTACTGGTATAACATTAAAGATTGTTATTTTTTATTTATTTTTTTAATATATATTTTATTGATTTTTTACAGAGAGGAAAGGAGAGAGATAGAGAGCTAGAAATGTCAATGAGAGAGAAACATCGACCAGCTGCCTCCTGCACACCTCCTACTGGGGATGTGCCCGCAACCAATGTACATGCCCTTGACCGGAATTGAACCTGGGACCTTTCAGTCCGCAGACTGACGCTCTATCCACTGAGCCAAACTGGTTTTGGCTAAAGATTATTTTTGTAATGTTATACATCTGACAACTTTTCAAAAAAAATAAAATAGTTGTTTGCCTAATGTTATAAACACCTAATTAGCACCAAATGTGATTCTGAGAATTAGAAAAAAACTAATTTTCATGTGGCATCAATTCACCCTTGACTACATTCAATTTATTCTTTAAAAATATTTTTATTTATTTCAGAAAGGAAGAGAAAGGGAGAGTAAGATGGAAACATCAATAATGAGAATCATTGACTGGCTGTCTCCTGCATACCCACTACTGGGGATCCAGCAACGGGGGTATGTGCCCTGACCAGGAATCAAACCATGATTTCCTTGTTCATAGGTCAACACTCAACCACTGAGCCATACCCAGCCAAGCAGTTTATTCTTTATTTAGAAACTTATGTTGATTGACCAGTATAATTGACTATTAGTCACTTTGTCAACAATTTATGCATTCATTGGTTGCTTCTTTGTTTTAAAAAATATATATATATATATATTTTATTGATTTTTTACAGAGAGGAAGAGAAAGGGATAGAGAGTTAGAAACATCGATGAGAGAGAATCATAGACCAGCCACCTCCTGCACACCCCCCATTGGGGATGTGCCCGCAACCAAAGTATATGCTCTTGACCAGAATCGAACCTGGGACCTTTCAGTCCACAGGCTAACGCTCTATTCACTGAGCCAAACCAGTTTTGGCACAAATATATTTTTTAAAAAAGATGTAGCTGTGTTTGAGTGTTGACCTATAAAACTGGAGGTCACCATTTGATTCCTGGTCAGGGCACATGCCCAGGTTATGGGCTCAATCCCCTGTGTGGGGCATGCAGAAGGCAGCTGATAAATGATTCTCTCTCATCACTGATGTTTCAATCTCTGTCTCCATATCCCTCTCAATTTTAAAAATGTAATAAAATAAAATAATTTTTGAAAAAATATGGATTGGGGTTTTCTCTTACAAAGACAAACTGGCCATTTGCTGGCCATAGAATTCTCCAAGAAATTCTACCAGATTTATGCTTTTGAATGTCCTCAGCAATTGCTGACTGCAGCTGAAAACCAAAGCAAAGCAAACCACCAAACAAAGAAACAAACACAACAACCCAGTTGTCAATAGTTTCAATCAGCTAAAGAAAACCACATACATCGCTTCTCCATAATTTTATAGTGGTAATTAAAATGAAACTAAATAATGGATTTTATACACACACACACACACACATGCATGTGTGTGCAAAGTGCTATCAGGTAACATTTTCAGAAAAGCACACCATCAAATAGTTCCATCATTAATCAGAACACATTGCTTGATATTCCCCTCCCCCCCCTTTGAGTAGGAAGGCAGGTTGGGAATTGTGTGTATGGAATGAGCATATTCCACTAATTAAAACTTTTGATTTCTAACCTGGATATAATCAACTCAATATATGAGCACTGTACTAGAAGCAAGCTGTCTATGGTAAAGGGAGTAAATTTAAATCTACAATATAAAGTGAAATCCCTACATGACAAAGATATTAATCCTGTACCCTTATTACCAATCTGATTAACTATATTAGGAATTTTGGTTTATTTTCAAAATCACCTTTTAACTAAGTTGTAGAGGATGTGATTTAGGTCATGGTATCTGAATCATATAATAAAAAGAGAACTAAAATGTAATGCAGTTCTATTGTACTTGAAAGATTGCTGTCTCTCCATGATAAAACCTTTTATGTTGTGAAACTTTGAACTAAACTCAAATTTAATAAAGCAAGACTAAAAGGAACACAATACTATTGCTATTACAAATAAGCTTCATTATACCATTTCACAAAAAAGACATACATACAAACATGAAAGTCATAACTCATTTATTGAATGAATAGTATATGCAATACCAATAAAAGGAAGCTAGTTCTACAAACTACAATTTTGAAAATAAAGCCAATATAATAGGAACAAAATATACATAACAAGCGAGGAATGTTTGATTTTGACCCCTAATGCATTCCTTATCTTTACAACTAACCTAAATGTCTGTTAGAACAAAACTATATACCTTGGTCTAACTTGAGCGCTTTTTTTAAAAAAAGCAACATTCTGGAAGAACACTTTTCTTTTGCTTTGAGATATTTAAGATTCACACATTTGTTCAAGTACATAGATTCTGATTCAACAGTAGATCTATATAGCTTGTTATTCTCTTAATATCTTGAGTAGCATGTACTCCTGAGCAAGTACTATCTGAAATTCTAAAATTGCTGACTTTTGAAATAAATGTATCAGTTGTGGGTTTTTAATAAATTGAGATGAAAGTAAAATTCACTCCCCCCCTCATCCCAGGAACAAAGAGCTCTTATTAAAGTATAGAAACTCAGGTCTATCTTTCTACTCTAAAGAACATTTCTTACTAACATTTCTGGTAAGGCAATAAATGCTCCAGAATAATCTTCAATATACGCTTGCAAAGATTACACTGTTTAATATCAATAACAAAAACAAAACAAAAATAGGGGGGGGGGAAAGAGAAAAGGAAAAAAGAAAAGTTGCTTAAAATTTCAAGCTAAAATATCTGTAAAAACACAGTCATGGCAGTATTTTCTGAAATGATGTAAATGTTATATACTTATCAAATAATGTCATGCTTATTAAAAGTACAGTTAAGGACTTAAGAGATGAACAGTAAATACAATGCTGAGGTCCATTTTTCTAAATATTCATACCACAATGTACTACCCAGAAGATGATGATGCTACTTGGGAACATAAGTACTGTACAATTTTTACATTGTAAGGCACTTTTACTCAGCATGTGACAAATATGGATAGAAAATAAAAATATCGGAGGTTTACAATCAAAGTTGATTTTTTCATGTGACTTCAATTTACATTTCAACTTTTAATGAAAGACTATTTAGCCAATCACACCACAGTGAGAAAAATAGGTAGCCAGCCACTTACCTAGCCAACCAAAAGGTAAAGTGCTATTCTGGTTGCTAGTGGCAGAGAAAGGGTTGAACAAACCCATACAAAGTCATACACTGGATTACATAACAAATCCATCAACTAACAACTATAGTATTTGAAGTCTATTACATGATTATTGACTGGCCATTATTACCCCTGGCACCTTCCATTTTTCCTAAAAACATCATTACAGTAGTTGTCCAAAAATGAAGGTGCTCTATTGTCTCACGGGTAAATCGATGGCATACAATGTAAAAAGGATCTAGACACAGTGATTCAAAGATTTAAAATAATGGGTTTCAAGCTGCTGTAAGGAAATAAAGTACAGATCCCTTTGGGAAAAGTCACATAGCTTGGTAAACAAACATCTTGATCTGTCGTTGCACTTCAAGTCATGGTGAATTTTGTAAATTCATCACATACATACAAAAAATCCAATGGCATATTTAGAGCAAGAAGAACAAAACATATAGGGAGAGCAACCCACTACTAAAGCTAGTTTCCTTCTAAAAATAATAAAAAATGGTTAAAATAAAGCAATCATAGAGTCCCTTGATTTAAGTAAATGTGTGAATACACACTTGACAAATGTGTCTTTAAGGGACTAGCAGTTAAAAAAATCAGTCATTAAGCACAGTGTAATTTTCCACCTGTTATATCTTAAAAATGGTTTCCCATAAGATACAAAAATCTTGATGCACAGTCATGTTAACATGATTTCTTCTGGTTTGCTAATTTGCTTTAATGTGGTAGGTTAACTAATCATTCAGAAATCCCTACCCTTGATAATGAGGTGTTATGGTAATATTAGGCAGATCACAACTAAAGTTTTTGGTTTTGCCATAAAGAAATATATAAATGTGCTTCAGAAGATAAATGGAAGAAAGTATCACTAGCTAGAAATGCCAGTGTGAAAATCCTTTCTAAAAGGCTGGATTCTTAGGCTTTGAGAAACAATCCTGATGATCCATAAAACAACACCAAGCCCTACTAGAGGAAAAGTAGGGCACAAAAGCCAATTTAATAGATAAGCAAAGCACTGAATGAAAACATTAAAAAATATTAAATAAAGTTTCTAACATAGTGGTCACAAAATTAAAAAAATAAATACTGTTTTATGCAAAGACTGTTTTTTACTCCTAGAGCACATGAGATCTCCTTACATACTTTGGGCCAATATATGAAGTGTTCCACACAACACGGCACTTGAGAGGAATGGGTTTCAGACATGGTGGCTAAAAGTCCTTAGTGAGTGGTAACCCTTTAAATCTTAAAGAGGTTTAATTTGTTGTTGCCAAATGTTAGTTTAAACTTGAAAGGATCCAATAATTTTGCTAGAAGCTCTTTATATAACATGATAAAAGAAGAGGTTTACTGTCAAGAGGATTTTGGCATAAGCACTGGAGCTCATAGCTTATAATCACCAGTTGCTTGAGTCCATGCTGGTCAGTGAGAACAACTTTACAGGAACCAAATGAAATGCTTTAGCACACTTCTTGGAAGAAATATTTAGTAGTTGCTGTCAAAGCCAAGAGAAAAAGAAAGTTCTCTTCATTTCTAGCCTTCATTACTTGAGTGTGAAAAAAAATTCACAAATTCCCATGTGTTGCGACCAGAGGCGTGTTTGCACTGTAAGGTGAAATTTGCTTATGCTTACCCTTGAGTATGAATCCACTAAACAAACTCAGACTTCTAAACAGAACTTTGTTCAGTACAGAAATATAGCTTACTTCATTGCAATATCTGCTTTAACTGTTGACACTATACACAGGGTTAATAGTGTTTCAATTGCTTCCCAGAAACTGCAAACTACAGCTATGTAATATCGACATGTCAAACTCTGCCATCTAATGAAGAAGGCTCATAAAACAAACAAGACATTTTTAGACAGTTCAATGAAGGATCTAAGAGTTGGGCAGTAAAAAGTTACAAACCCTTTTTGATTTTAGAAAACAGTGAAAAGAGAATAGTAGTTATGGATGTCTTATTCATTCCCAGTTTTCTAACTCTGTCCCATGAACCTGTTTAAAAGATGATAAAAAAATGTAAAATATGATGCTTGAGGGGAACACAATAAATATAATGTTATTGAGGAGGGAGGATATTTTACTGATTTGACATTACAATTACATTTATTGATAAAGCAGATAGCTTGTTTTTACTGTTACAAAATCCGCTAGTTTAAAAAACTATGCAAGCTCACACAGTCCTCAGCATTCTAGTGACATGCTCAATTAAACATAATAGCATTAAAAAAATCATACCGCACACCATTATTTCAACGTTTTTATCAATGTGTATTGTATTCTGACAATAGATCCGATATAATTAACTTTCATACCTAGTTTCCATTAAGTTGCTGCTGAGTTAGTCGTTGCTGATCAATTTCTAATCTTCCCCGGCTTTTACTCTCTCGTTCCTCATCTTCTTCATCTCTTTCATCATTTCCACTATGATTTTTACAATATAGTCTACAATGATGAAAAATAAAAAAAAAATCTAAATGTTTTGCTTCTGTTCATGAGAATATATTTATTTCATTAGTGGATGAGGTTGTGGATGAGGTTTAAAATATGGGTTTCCTCATTCACCCTTAAAAACACTTCACAATTAGTTACATACAGGTCCATTTCTATCTAAAGCAGTGGTTCTCAACTTTTTTTTTTTTTTTTTAATAATATTGCTTTTTTTAATATATATATATATTTTATTGATTTTTTACAGAGAGGAAGGGAGAGAGATAGAGAGCTAGAAACGTCGATGAGAGAGAAACATCGACCAGCTGCCTCTTGCACCCCTCCCCCCCACCGGGGATGTGCCCGCAACCAAGGTACATGCCCTTGACCGGAACTGAACCCGGGACCTTTCAGTCCGCAGGCTGACACCCTACCACTGAGTCAAACCGGTTTCGGCTGTTCTCAACCTTTTTAATGCTGCGACCCTTTAAAATAGTTCCTCACATTGTGGTGACCCCCAATCATAAAATTATTTTCGTTGCTACTTCATAACTATAATTTTGTGTTATGAATTGTAATGTAAATATCTGTTTTCTGATGGTCTTAGGCGACCCTGCTAGTGGTTCTGAACCTGTGGGTCGTGACCTACAGGTTGAGAGCCGCTGCTGCAGAGCCTGCAGCGGTTCCTTGATGGGGGCCAATGGGGGCCGGGCCGGTTGGCTGGTTGAGGTAAGGGGCTGTGGGAGGCTGAGGGGGGCAATTGGGGTCCCCAATGGGCTGATTGGCCGCTGCAGTGTATGTTCATAGCGACTGGCCATTCTGGGTGTTCCACTGTTCCGGCTGCTTGGCTTTTAGATAGATAGATAGATAGATAGATAGATAGATAGATAGATAGATTGCTTTCTGTTCAAGATCTCATGTGACAATTTTATTCAAACTCTTCAAATGCCTTTGCATTAGTGTCCTGGTCTTCATTACAATAACTTTATGAATCACCGGACAATTTTCCAGGAACTGCATTTGGTTATGTCTCTCTTAATCTAGACTGGTTCCTCAAAAAAATTTCCCCCATGCTACTCTTTTGAGAAGCGTTAGACACCTTGTCAGCTATACTACATTCTGGATTTGTCTAATCGTGGTACTGTTCTTTGGTATTCCTTCACACCATATTTCCTATCAATTGGAAATAAAGCCCAAAGGCTTGATTAGCTTTAGGTTCAATTTTTTTGTATGCAATCCTACATACTTCAGGAGGCATGTAATTTCAGAATGTTCCATTTTAGTGATGCTGTTTGATAATTTGGTTGCGATGTTGGTGACAGCCAGAGTGATCCATTGTAAAGATAGGTTTTCCCCTTTAAAATTAGTAAATAGGAGGATCCAAGATGGCTGCGCCCAGGTGAACACCTAGCCGCAGCCGCACACAACAATTTCAATAAAATATAACTAAAATATAAAACGGACATTGCCCAGAACTACAGGAAGGTTGACTGACTGGAAATTCTACAGCGAGAAGCAAGGAGAAAACCAGGAGGAGGCGCGGAGGAGCTGGAAAAGCCCAAGGTACGGAGACGTGGTGCGGAGAAGATGGAGCCAGAGAGGAGGGGAGGCGGAATACCTGGCGGGCCTTCCCTAGCGGAAAGGAGATAAAACTCCGACTGTGCTGGGCCCCCGACTGCTCTGAACCCCAGTTCTAGGCCAGACCCCGGGGACTCAGGCTCAGCCATAGGGAGCCGGGTTGTAAGGCAGAACCCCGGAGGAGCGGCGAAAGGAGGTCCCGGAGGAGCGCACACTGTGCGCAGAGAAGGGACGATAGGCTGTGCCATGGGATTGCCCTGGCCGGAAGGAGACAGGGGCTCCAGACTGCTCTGAACACCACCTCCAACTCCAGTTCCAACTGAACTGAACCCCAATACCGGGCTCATTGTGGGAGAGCATAGACTGTTTGGCAGCAGGCGAAAATCGAGGGCACCTTTCTCTCAGAGGCGCTGGCAGCGAGCACTGAAGGACCCGCATAGGGCAGGGCTGACGGAAGCCAAAGCTGCAGGCTCCACCCTGAAACCCCATCCCATCTGTAACTGCGAAATGCGACAACAAAATAGATCACAAACGAAAGAAATGGAGGACAAAAAGCGTCTGGATATAGAGTTCAAATCTACGCTTATAAGGTTTTTCAAGGATTGCCTAGAAAAGATGGATAAGACCTATGAGGATATGAAAAGAGATCAACTAGAATTAATAAGGAGTCATTAAGAAATGATAAGGGATCAACAAGAAATAAAGAATACATTGTCTGAAATAAAAAATATTTTACAGAGTCCTAAAAACAGAAGGGAAGATCGCAAGAATCAAGTCAAAGATTTGGAACATCTGATATTTTATTTGGACTCAGAGCCAGAAGACACTCCTCCACAGAAGCTAGAAGGCAAGAGAATCCAGACAACCGAAGATAATGTAAGAAACCTCTGGGACAACTTCAAGCGAACCAACATCAGAATTATGGGGGTCCCAGAAGATGAGAGAGAGCAAGATATTGAAAACATACTGAAAGAAATAGTGACAGAAAACTTCCCCCACCTGGTGAAAGAATTAGACTTACAAGTCCAGGAAGCGCACAGAACTCCAAACAAAAGGAATCCAAAGAGGACCACACCAAGACACATCATAATTAAAATTCCAAGAGCAAAAGACAAAGAGAGAATATTAAAAGAAGCAAGAGCAAAGAAGGTAGTTACCTATAAAGGAGCACATATACGATTGTCAGTTGACTTCTCAACAGAAACCATGCAGGCCAGAAGGGAATGGCAAGAAATATTCAAGGTGATGAATAGTAAGAACCTACGGCCAAAGATAATCTATCCAGCAAAGCTATCACTCAGAATCGAAGGTCAGATAAAGAGCTTCACTAATAAAAAAAAAAGCTAAAGGAGTTCATCAACACCAAACCAGAATTATATGAATTGCTGGAGGGGGTTCTTTCAGAAGAGAAAGTAAACAAAGATAAAAATTATGAACAACAAATACGTAACTATCAACAAGTGAATCTAAAAACCAAGGAAATTAAAAAAAAAAATCTGATGAACAATAGTAACTGTTGAATATAATAGAATCAGAGGTATGGAAGGGGAGTGAACTGACGATTCTTGGGGAAAAGGGGAGAGGGGGGCGTGGGAAGAGACTGAACATAAACTGTGCACCTATGGATGAGGACAATGGGGAGTGGGGAAAGGGCAGAGGGTGGGGTGGGAACCTGGTGGAGGAGAGCAATGGTGGGGGGGGGGGGGAAAGGAACATTTGTAATAATATGAACAATAAAAACTTATTTAAAATAAATAAATAAATAGAAAAATAAAATTAGTAAATAATCTCTGGAGTGATACTTTGACATCATGTAGTTTCAACGATATTTTATTTGGACTCAGAAGACACAGTATAATTGAAATTCATTGTGTGTGTTTTTTATGAAGATAGCAATGCAGGCGATTTTGGACCAGGGTTTAGCCACTTTAATATATATGTACCAATATATTTATTTATAGCTAACCAACCCTACTATAATCAAAGGACGGGCTGATCTGAGTTCAGTTTTAGATAAATTACAATATGTGCTGCATAACAATGCTTAGGTCTATGACAGACCACATATAGGAAGGTGCTTCCATAAGATTATAATGTAGCTGAAAAATTCCTATTGCCTAGTGATATCATAGCCACCATAACATCATAATGCAACACGTTCTTCACGTTTGTGATGATAATAGTGTAAACAAACTTACTGTACTGTCAATTGCATAAAAATCTAAATCATAAAAACCCAGTGGCCCTAATGCCATACCAACCAAAGATTGGTGCGGGTGGGTGGTGCTGCAAGCGTGGCGGGGAGCATGTAGGTGGGTGAGGCCACGCAAATTCACACGCTGGGCTTCTAGTATAGCACATAATTATGTACAGTACTTAACAATTGATAATAATAAAGGACTATGTTACTGGTTTTTGTATTTACTACACTGCACTTTTTATTGTTAAGTTAGAGTGTACTCTTTCCACTTATTAAAAGAAAGTTTGCTGTAAAATAGTATGTTGTATTATGCAGGCAGCAACCTCATACATCTCATGTTTACAGTATCTTTTGATTGCATCCTTTTCTCTTGTGCTTGTTTTAATCTTGTGTTGTTTTATAGAGTAACATGCTGTACATGCTTGTAGCCTAGGAGCAACATGACATAACATACAACCCAGGTGTGTAGTACACTATACCATCTAGGTTTGTATAAATGAAGTCTATAATTTTTGTACAAGATGAAATTGCCTAGCCACCCATTTCTCAGAACATATTCACATCCTTAGGTGGCGCATAACTGTACACAAGATGAGAAGATAGAATAATTCTTAAAAAATGTTCAGTGGATGCCCTCTTGTGGTCAGCAATGGATAAAAGATGATCATTTAGGAATTCATCAGCCACAAATGATCTAGAACTGAGTTTAACATGAGAAGTTTCTAACGTGTACATAGAATAAAAGGTAGGCATGGGGTTGTGGGGGAACAACAATAACAACTGGCTTCTGTCCTAGTTTTGCTTATTACTCTTTTATTTTCAAAACTAGAGGTCCATGCATGAATGGGGTGCGGGAGGAAGGTCTCTCAGCCTGGCCAGCACCTTCTCCAATCCAGGATCCCTCAGGGGATGTCCGACTCCTAGCAGTTGGACATCCCTCTTGCAATCCAGGACCACTCGCCTGCCTGCCTGCCTGATCACCCCTAACCATCTTTATGTGCCGGCCTGATGCCCCTATTGCTCCCTTGCTAGCCTGATTACCACTAAATTCTCCCCTGCCAGCCTGATTGCCCCCTAACTGCTCCCCTACCAGCCTGATGTCCCTAACTGCTCCCCTACCGGCTTGATGTCCCTAATTGCTCCCTTGCTAGCTTGATCACCCACTACATTCTCCCCTGTTAGCCTGACTGCCCCATAACTGCTTCTGCCTGCCAGCCTGATCGCTCCCAAAACTGCT